ACCTCCCTCGGTCTCAGGTGGGGCCTCAAAGAGGTGTGACAGGACCAAGGAAGTCGTTTCAAACCTCTCAAAGCGCTCTCCGAGGTGTAAGGAAATCCCATTTATTTCCCCATACTGGACGAGCGCGGGGCCTCACTGGGGCCAACGCCCGCGCGGCATCTCGGAGTTCCCTGGACCGCTTTCGTGGGGGGACACTCCCTACCTTGTGGCTTGGCGAGAGCCTTTTCTCGACAAGTCCCTCCCGTGGATCTTCTAGACAAGCTCAGTCCCCGCCGTCGGGCAGAGGACCCAACAGGTCAGGACCCCTCTGATCCCGCGCGCCGTCGGACTCTGGACCCCGGACTCCATCCCCAGGTCCCCGCACTGTCCCCGGCCCTTCGGAGCGCCCACCTCTCCTTCGGGGACCTCCCTTGCCAGAGTTCCCCGGGCCTGGAGGACGCACTTGGGGTGGCAGGCCCCGGGAAGGTGGGTGGAGTTTCGAGAGCTCAGGAGGCTCGGGACCGCGCGGTCCTCCTGACCCCCTGAGCCAGAGTAGGGGTACGGCAAGAGGGGTTCGTAGGAAAGAGATGGACACAAAATTGGGAGACTCGGGGAATTGTACACGCTGTGGCAATAGTACAAAACCCCTGACCAAACGTCTCCGTATCTCTAGTTTCCTGGGAACTAAATTGCTGCCCCCCGACCAGCATCTCCTCGCTCCTCAGTACAGAGAGGCCCACCTTTGTAAGTTCTCGGTCTTTCTCACTAGGGCGTCGCCAGCTTTTCCGGACTGGGGACGTTTCGTTCAGACTCTGCCTAGCCATTGCGCCTTAGGCTGGGGATGGTCCTCTCGGTCCTCCCCGCCCCCCCCCCACGCCCCGGGCAAGGGGCCGGCGTACCTGCGCACGCCGGCGGGTAACCCTGCCCTGCACCCGGCTGCGCTGCCTCCCTTTCGCTCCAACAGTCGCCGAGGGCCACGTTTTTTTTCTCGGGCAGGATTCTTTTCCCGCCCTACAATAGCCGGCCCCGGCCAAGTGCCCTCTTCGGGCGTCCAGGCCCGGGCACTGCCCCAGGAGACGCCGTGGCGACCCTCGTTACCTGCGTGCTGCCGGGGCCCGGCAGATCGCGGCTGCAAGCTCGCCCGAGCAGCCCCAATTTCATTTCCTCCCCCTAGAGGCACGTTTCCCAGAAAAACCTCCCCCCGGCCCCCTCCCGCCTTCCCTACGGGACCAGGAAAAGTCTCAATCTCCATAGAAAAGGTTCCATTTAAGTGCCGGGGGGGGGGGGGCGCAGGGGGCGGGGCAGAGGTGGTGGAGAGGATTGAATTTCTCTTCGCTGCTAACCAGCCACCGGCGGATAAAGCGCAAGTTTGTGCGCTTCGTCCACCGAGGGATTGCAAACCCAGAAAACAAAGTGTCCAGTGAGATGCGGAGTTTGCCCAGATTTCCCTGCAGATGGGTTTGCGGAAACGCCTGTGATGTGAACTTTCTGCAGATTGTGTATGGAGGGAGCTGAAGGAAAGGAGGAAGGAGAGCGGGGCGGGGAGGGGGCAGTGTGAGCGTGAAATGTGCCCGTGTGTGTGTGTGTGTGTGTTTGGGGAGGGGGGGTTGTGTGCCCAGGCGCGGGGGCGTCACAGCGGGGCAGAGGAAGGCGTCGGGAGCGTCCCGCAGGCTAATTGGTTTGAGACGTTCCGCGAGCGCTGGAAAAGGTCGTTGAAGGAGTTCGCTGCACACACACAAAATAATAATCTTAAAAAAGAGTGCCGGGCATGCGCACAGAGAGGATGCCATATTGGAATGAGGCTGTAGTGGGAGTCGGAGCACCGGAGCGGGCGCGCAAGAGAGGCGGCGGGCGGGGAGCGAGCGAGGCTGAGCGAGCCGGGGCGAGGCAGAGCGAGCGAGCGAGGCCGGCAGCCCCCCGGCGGCGCCCGAGGCCTGGGTCCACTCCGAGGGGAGGACGAACTTCACCAGGTAGGACGCCGCGCCGGCCGCTGTCCCCGCGCCCAGCCCGCCCGGCGAGCAGACCTCCGGCCCGCAGGTTGAGTGCGCCGGTCAGCTTCTTTTTTCCAGCTTCGGGAAAAAGGGAAGCTCGGGCCAGCCCGGGCGTGGGAGGCTTGAGGAGCGGGTGCCGAGGGAGAGAAGCGAAAGAGAAGAGCTGGAGGGGAGAGCGGCAGCCCTAGAGCAGAGCCCCAAACTCCGCTCTGCGCTCCCGGGTTGTCATTTTTGCTGCTCGCGTCCCCTTCCAACAACCTCGTCCCTCGGCTTTGAAAAGCCCGGCCTTGCGGGAGACCGTCTGTAGTTGCAAAGTGTCCTCCTCCCCGGGTGCGAGCTGTCCCCTCCCGCCGCCCACCTTCCTCATTTGTGCGCTCATTTTAGCGACGCAGCCGCCCTTGCTAACCCCGCGCTCCGCGGTCTCTTCCCTTGTCGGGGTCTCTTTCTTCTTTTTTTGGTGTGTGTGTTGGGGGCGGGGAGGGGGAAAATGGTAGGGTGAGGACTGGAGACCAGCCATCAGGGGTGTTAAAAATCGTTTACACATTCGGAGTCGCCCTCTTGGAAACATTTGCCTGTGCAGCTGAAATGAAATTGTCAGTAGTAGTTTCGGAGCGTGCTCCGGCATGGATGATCTTTTTGTTCTTTTTTTTTTTTTTCGCTTTAAAGTAATATCCTGTCACTTGGGGCTTTCCTGTTGTCTACTCTCATATGATCTCCTTTCAAAATTGCTAATCTGATCTAGCTTTGGAGTTTATTTTTTAAACGTGTGTGTGTGTTGGTAAAAATCCGCCAAAAAAAAAAAAAAGAAAAGAAAGAAAAAAAGAAAACAACTGTAGGAACTGCTTAGATGTATTTATTGATTTTGGCCCGGGGCGGCGGGAGAGGCTGAACCGGGGACCGGGGACCTGGGGGGTGGGAAGTGCTGGATTCGCGGTGGCCGGACGCACGTCCAGAGCCCGATCCGTACTTGTGTTTTCTTGGAAGCGCTGCAACTGCAGGGAAGGAGTATTTAGAAACCCTGCCAGTTTCAATATGGCGGGCTAAGGTGGTTTTTAAAAACTGAAAATAAAGGTTTTGAGGTGGGAAAAAACCCAACCGGAGTTGCCATGCCTTAGTTTCGACTCTCTTTGGCTACTCCAGGAGCTGTTTTAGCGAATTAAATGGGAAAAAAGAGACAGAATGAGCTGCCCTAGTTTTTTCCGTGTTTCGAGTCTGCGTGTCCAGTCCATTGCTAGGGGGGGAAAGGGGTGCCGCTGGTCCAGACTGGGGCATCCGAGCACAACTGCTGCATGTGTCTTTGGATCGGTGTGCATACTGGTGTGTGCAGTTGTGGGGGGCGGTGTCAAAGAGATACGCCCCGAATGTGTGTGTGCGTCTTGGAACCAGACTCTGCCATGATTTGACGTGACAAACTGCTGACACGTGGTGCAAAATACATGAGGGCAGAGGCAATGATTTATTTCGGCTTTCTTTGAGACAAGCTCTCTGTATGTTGGATTCTGTGCAGGTGAAGCCCGGAGTAGGCGGAGTGCGGAGGTGCTTATTAAAAGGACTAACTGTCTAGGGTATTGGGTGCAGTCGGGCTGCAGACGCCTGTGGGGTTTTGTGTGTGCTGGGGGCACTTCGCACTTGGCGGTGGGGGCCTCGCGGCCGAGGCGTGGGGAGGAGAGTGGTGGGGCAGAAAGGTGTTGGCACGCCGACCTAGGCGGAAAAGTGTGTAGGGTCGAAGCGAGGAGTTGCTTTTGGATTGGAGTTGAGCTCTAGGGAAGGTGGGGGATGGGAGAAGTGGTCTCGGAAGAAAGTGTCCCTAGCTTAGGTCCAGCGCGAGAAGGCTGGATCTGAGTGGGGCGTTCCCCGGCCATGGCAGGCAAGCGGGCGGCGCTGTGGCATTGGGGTTTGAGTGGTGTCCGAGAAAGGCCGGCTTCTGGGGCCTGGAGGGTCTCGGACTGGAGTTTGGGGGCAAAGTCGGAGCCTGTAAGGGGAGTCGGAGGGGAAGCAAGCAAACCCGAGCTCGCTAAGCTAGGAACAGGGATCTCCAACAGGGGTCGCCAGTGGCCAGGACGCAGCTGCCGAGCGGAGGTCGCGCGGGAGGGACCCAGGGGACAGGGGGCCGTGCGGCGGCTGTGCGCGGTCCCCCGGGCCTGGCGAGGGCAGGTTCTGGGGACCTTCTCTGGGCCGGCGAACCTGATGGCGCCTTGGCCAAGTGCGCCAAGACGTGTTTAAATCTCAGGGTTAAAAAGATAGTGTGTTGGCTAGGTCTGTAGTTAGCGCAGTAACGGGGTCTCAGGGCATTTACAGGGGCCTAGAGGGGCGATCCATAGGGTCAGCTCGTCCTTCCCCCTTAGACGCCGCGCTGCCGGAGAGGCCTCTCTCTAGTAGTGTCCCGCGGGTGGGGGCCCAGGGGAGGCGACACTAGGATTGGATACCCCGCGGCAGATTTTCCTTCCCACCTGGGTTGGCGGGGCCGAGAGATCGGCGACACTCCGGCCAAGACAGGGTGGGTCCCCCGGGCAGAGAGCGGGGCGCGTCCCCGGCCCTTGCAGCGTGCGCGGCTAGCGGGTCCTCCCGGGGACAGCTTTCCCGTGGGCTTCGCTGAAGTGGAAACCAGCCTAAAATGGCTCTGTGCTTGTAAACTGCAGTTTCAGCCGGGAACCCCTCCCCTCGTCCTCCTGACGTCGCCGCTGACAAGCGAACAATTCACTCTAACGCCCCGAAACCCGCGATTTTGCACCGAGCTGTGCCGTGGAAGCGAATATACAACCGATTACAAAGAACATTCCTCAGGATTCTCGCAGGGCCCAAGTTTCCCTTTCTTGTAGGAAGGAGCGGGAGGAGGGAGGCGCGGCAGGAGCCCGGCCGACCACCGCCCCGGAACCCGGGCTGGGGCTGGGGTTGCGGGTCGGGGCTGGGGCCCTTTCCGCGTAAAAAACCGAGGGAGGTGCCCCGGGGACGCGGATGGTAGCCGTGCGCAGCGATCGCCACCGCCAGGGGCGCTTGGCCTTGACGGCATCTGTGGTGTACGGAGTGCAAAGAGACGCCGGGAAGCCTGGGAGACCGTTCCCAAACTTCTGGAGACCCGCTTGCAGTTTCGCTTTCGGAATTTTCGGATCTTTGGGTTTCTAGAGTTGGGTGGGATTCCGGGAAGAGCAGGGCTCCAGGCGCTGGTCGTACGGATGCTCGTTCCCCTTTCGGTGCAGTAGTCAGACTTCTCACCACCCCAGCGTCCCCTCCTTTGCGTCCCCGGGTCCCGCGGGCGCGTTCCAGGTCTGGGGCTCCCAGCCCCGCGCGCAGCCCCGGCTCCGGAGAGCGTCGGCCCCGCACCGCGTTTTGTCGGCTCCAGCGGCGCGGCCACCGCGGATCCGAGTCTACTGGTGGGAAACCGCTTTCGACCAGGGACGACCCTGCTTGAATCCGCATCCATCGCCGCTGCCGTCCTCTTTCCCTCACCCCTCCACCCTCTCACCGACGCCAAGGGACCTGGGGGACCGATTCGCGTGTCTACACCAAGCAAGTGGATCCAGGGTTCACCAGGTCGGAGAAAACGCGAAAACCGGCTTAAATTCGGCACCGCATTCTGGGGAGGCGGTTGGGGGTGGGGAAGGAGGTTGAGCGGGTACAGAGTGGGAGGGGAGAGGCCTTGGTGGCCAGAAGGAATTGGCCAGGCGCTCCTGTGTGATAGGAGATCTGCTACTTTCTCCCTAGTAAGCATTAAGTTGGCACACACGCTGCTTCCTCCCTTCCATAAATAAATATGTCTCAGATCCTTATTTTAGCTAGGCGCTGGGACCAAGCCACCTGCCTGAAAGGGGTGAGGGGCACACCCACGCACACCAGAAACCTTCCCCTGCCCTACCAAAGTTTGGACTGTGCTAAAGACCCATTCCCCTGGCGGTGTAAACCCCTGCCCAGCGGCAGGGTGATTGATTCAGCAGTCCCTACCCTAGAAAAGAGTCCACCCTGCTTTGATGTGTGTTGTTCTAGAAGTGCTGGCTCTCAGAGAAGAATTTCCCACTAGGGTTCCAGCACCTTGAACTTCCAACAGGCCATCCTGCTGGGACCTGAATTTCACTAATGATGGGAGTCATTGATCTGAGAGAGCTTTTCCTCTTCGTGTTTTCTTGCAGAAACCATAGACCTTTTTTTGTTGTTGTTGTTGTTTTTGTTTTTTTGTTTTGTTTTTTAAACCTTTTTAGGTATAAATCCCTAGGTTCATGATTCTTGCTTAAAAACAAACAAATAAACCAGAATAGGTTCCTGAAGAAAGAGGAGAGCCTGGGTGATCTCAGGATTAGCCTCTCTTCCTAAGACCTTCCTTTGCTGTCCTGGGAGTACTGAAGGTTTATCAAATCCTGTTTCTGCCCACTCTAGCTGAGGTGGCATTGTTCACCTTTCTCCATGTACTGGTGCTCATGAAGGAAGGACTTGCCACCTCTCTGTGTTGGAAACACTGCTCTGAGAAGTAAGTGAATGAGGGTTCCATTTTATTGGTACAGGGTGCTTTGGGGGTTGAAGAACCCCGTGCAATGGAAATGCATAGTTTGCAGGGCCTATACTTAATACCGAAAAGTTTTTGTCAGGGTATCAAAGTAAAAGAGTTCTTCTCTTCCTCCTCCTCCTCCTTGTTGTCCTTCTTCTTAATAGTTTGTACAAAATGGTCTACTGTGGGGATTTGAATGACTTCCAGTTCTAGGGTTCTCAGCTTGGACCTTTGTCTGATAGTATTTCACTATTTGGAACTTTTGGAGTTCACGACGTAACAGTATAGTGGTCATAAAGAAGAGTTCATAAAAGGTTCTTGTCCCAAAATGAAATTAGGATATGTAGTTCAAGGCACATTTTGTGTTTTTTATAAACTGTTCTCATGTCTACATTGCCCCAGTACCGACTTATTGTCCCTATTCTACAAATATGAAAAAAAAAAAAATTAGGGAACTTGTCATAACAAACCAACCTGCGCATTCATTGGTGACCCAGGATCTAACCACCTGATTTTGTAAGGAAGATTCCTGGCAGAGGAGAGGACAGAATCAGGAGGCCTGGGTTCTACTTAGGAGGTATTTCTGTCTAGCCTTGTGACCTTGGACCACTTACGGGATTTTTTTTCTGAGCCTCAACTTCCTTATCTACAAAATAAATGCATCAGACTGGAGTCTCACTCAGATCTCCATGCTTCTATTTGGGGGAAAAAATCAGTGATTCAACACATCTTGGTAGGCGTGCTCAAGTGATTCATCTGTCAGCCCCATGCCTGCTACGTAGAGTGAAAGGAGTACAGGCCATGGTGACTGAGGCTCAACAAGACGTTTGTGAGAGCAGTTGGTGGGTTGTAGTTCCCTCTGCAGGGGTCAAGTGGTGACATTGTCGAGGGAAAGAAGCTGTGTATGTATGGGGGCAGGCATCGTTCACGCCCTGCAAAAGTGAGGTGTGGAGATGGAGGCACACACAGATGGAGCCTTCATATATAATCTTTTAACTTTCTTAAAAAAGATTTCTTTCTTTTTTTTTTTTTTTTAA